GTGTGTGTGTGTGTGTGTGTGTGTGTGTGCGCATGTGAAGCTGCTGTGGTGCGCAACCTAATACCTAATACCTAATTACCTAATTAATACCTAATTTACCTAATTTCCCTCTGGGATCAATAAAGTATTTTTGAATTTTGAATTGAACTTTTGAACCGGCGCATCCATCCAATCTGAGCCTGGAAATAATTAACTTTGCGCACAAGTTTACTACCATAATTAAGGCCCCCAAATACTCGGGCGTACTCCGCTCCGTGGAGGTCTGCGAGGACTCGAGGTGGACTCAATGCAGAACTGAAGCGGCCGTCCGCCGTACTGGTCCACGCAGAGATCAATTTTTTACGTCTGCGTCCGCAGTGTCGCACAACAAACTGCCTGGCGAGTACTGTTTTGGATGCGAAACCATTCTTATAAAGTTGAGAATCGGTGTCTTTTGTGGATGAAATGCAGTCAAATTTTGAAGAATGTCTCATGGAGAAGATTAGGAAACTTTACAATGCGTCAATGAAGGAATATAAGGACTTTCAGCAAGCAACAAATTCGTGGGAGGAAATAGCTCAGATCCTGGGTAAGGTAGTTCTTTTCTTTTTTCTTTTGTTGATTTAAAGCTAAAATGCAAACTATCTCTTCCTCCTGATCCTTGACATCATGACTGAAATTGCCAGAAATTAAAGAATTTGTCAGGCGGTCAGGACACTCGAGTATGAAGTCTCAAATATCCACGGACAATATACGCGGAGTCCAAGCGGCTCACGGACCGCACACAGTATGCACGAGTATGTGGGAGCCTTTACTGTAAACACAGAGGAACTTAGATGTTTGGTAGAACATAGATCTTTGTTTATTTAATAGCTGATATGAAGAAACAAGTCTCTGTGCCTTAGTGAAGAGTTTTCATGACGTGACATGATGTTGGAAAGTTAGAATTATATGGATGAGACTGTTCCATTGGGAATGACTCTGCTATGGGTGGACTGGACTGGCACAGTCCCGATCGGTCTGCCAGCTCCCTCTGGAAAGAACCTGTGGAACCACAATTCGATCGCAATTCGATTGCAGCTGCAGCTGCTGCATACGCGGTGCACAGCTCCTCGCTGTGTCATGCTCACAGCGCGCCGCAGTGCCAAACTGAAAAAGGATTATTCCTAAAAACGGCTGAAGAGCCAGTCGTCATCATGGATCAGAAAATTCTGTTTATAAGTAAATGCTCTGCTGTTACATTATTTATTATATCCTAACATTTCCACAGTCATTTCAGTTTTGATACATCTGGAGTTTTGCATGAAAAATGTTGTATACAAGGTTTTTGTGTGTACGCTCCGTTGATACATGAGGCCGCTGGTCTCTTAATACAAATGATGTAATTTTTTTCCATGGGAAAACAGGTTAAAGAAGGACCCGCCTGTCCGACACAAATACATTTTTCCTGATATATTCTTGACTACTGGGCTACCTGGAGGTCCATATGTCTGGCAACTTTGTCCCTGGAAGACGTTGAAGATTTATAAAAAATCTGGATTATTGATCGCTGGATTTCTGTTCAATGGACCTGGCATTTGTCTGGTGTATCGTGAAACAAGGATTATGTCAGCAGCAGTTCAGGCCATTTCACAGCTGCCTGAACATTTTGAAGGAACCATTAACACTCAGACTCTGACGCTGTGTGAATTGAGACACAGCCTGCAAGCAGGTCGCGGGCCAGCTGCGCTGCAGTCGCCAAGTTATGCAGGTAGGATGGATTCGATCATGGAGAAGTTGATTGTTCCACTTGGCAGGATTGGCCACACTAATTAGGCTGATTAAAATTGCCTTTGGGAGTACCAGCTGGACACGGAGGCAGAGGGGAAATTATTATTGTCTGCCTGGTCGAAAACCACTTTAATTGTTTTCAAAATCCAGCGCTATCACTTGGCCTTCAAGCCTGAGTATTTCAAATCCTCCTGGAGAAAGTTATAAAAAAATCTGTCTTTCCCCACTCTTACCCATCTCCAACTCAAACTCTAGTGAGATTAGCTTAGGGACTGTAAAGTTGACAAATGAACCTTATGACATCTATTGGAACTGTGATCTGTGTCTCAAGGCGAAGCGCGCACGCACACGCACACGCACACACACACACACACACACACACACACACACACACACACACACACACAAGCGTTACACGATCAACATCCAGTTTAGATAGTGCTGAAATGTGATTAACTTCTGGGACTTATAAAGCAAATGTAAACCAGTTAGACTGTCATCCAGTGATTAGTACTATAACAAACCCTGGATAAATTATGGAATCACCGGCAACGGAGGATGTTCATTCAGTTGTTTAATTTTGAAGAAAAAAAAAAGGCAGATCACAGACATGACCCAAAACTAAAGTCACTTCAAATGGCAACTTTCTGGCTTTAAGAAACACTAAAAGAAATCAAGAAAAACAATTGTGGCAGTCAGTAACAATTACTTTTTTTGGACAAGCAGAGGGGAAAAAATATGGAATCACTCAATTCTGAGGAAAAATCTATAGAATCATGAAAAACAAAAAAACACTCCAACACATCACTAGTATTTTGTTGAACCACCTCTGGCTTTTCTAAAAGCTTTCAGTCTCTGAGGCATGGACTTAATGAGTGACAAACGATCTTCATCAATCTGACTCCAAWTTTCTCTGATTGCTGCTGCCAGATCAGCTTTGGAGGTTGGAGCCTTGTCATGGACCATTTTCTTCGACTTCCAGCTAAGATTTTCAGTTGGATTGAGATCCGGACTACTTGCAGGCCATGACATTGACCTTATGTGTCTTTTTTTTTCAAGGGATGTTTTCAGTTTTTGCATTATGGCAGGACGCATTATCATCTTGAAAATATTTCCCAATCTTCTATTGTCCAATTTTGGTGAGCCTGTGTGAATTGTAGCCTCAGTTTCCTGTTCTTAGCTGACAGGAGTGGGACACGGTGTGATCTCCTGCTGCTGTAGCCCATCTTTCTCAAGGTTTGACGTGTTGTGCATTCAGAGATGCTCTTCTGCCTACCTCAGTTGTAACAAGTGGTCATTTGATTTACTGTTACCATTCTATTATCTCGAACCAGTCTAGCCATTCTCCTCTGGCATCAACAAGGTATTAAAATGTAATGAACCTTCACACCAAAAATCTTTGAATTTAGAATTGAGCATTAAGACCCGCAGTGTGAACGTAGCCTTAGTTTCAAAAGACATGGTGACAGCAGCTGTGCAGGGAGGCCCGATATGATTTTTTTTAACCATAGTGCCCAAATTTCTCGGCAGCGCCCCTGCCCAAATGTATAAATACTACTTTTGTGCAATGGGTCTCTGGTGAAGCCAAAAAAGGTCCCTCTCTATTAGCAAACAAAACAAACAGAAAAACAAAACAGTCCTCATACTTATGATGGCTGTCGCATTACTTGGTTGTATTTTTTCAACAATGCTCATTGTCCAAATGAAAGACGTTTCATATTGTTCCCTTTATAGAATTAACCCAGTCAGTGAATTAAATAAAGTTATACACAGTAGTGGGTACTACACTGTAAATCTACAGGCAGGTTGCAGGAGCGTAGCTAAAACAAATGCACTTACCAGCCATCTTAATCTGGTACCCTGCTACTTACATTTTTATTAAATTCCTACAGATATATGAAGTTATGGTCTAACAGTATCTAACTGCTGGGTTTGATAAGAAATATAAAAATACCATCTTTGTTCCGTCTCTGCCTAATCAGAATTTATTTAAACAAACAATCTTTGAACCATTACTGCCAATTAGCTCATCTGGACTTGATTGAGTTAAATTCAGAGCCTAAGTTTTTTTGTTGATCCTAAAGACAACACTTACAGATCTGGAGTCAGGTTTTTTTGTCTTCCTCAGGGTAACGTAGGAGGCGATGGTCGAAGACTCAGGAGGATTCATGGAAGATTTGGTCCGGGGAGTGACAATGCCCACAGGGAAGGGGGACACTGTTGGAGAAACAATATAGAAAAGTGTCATTTACTGTACACAACAGCAAGCCAGCAAACAAACGCAGTTAATGATCTGTTTGTACTGTAGAATAACACACAACTATAGTCCAAGTAAACAAAGCAAAAATAATAAAAATTGATTAGGAGACGTTAAATTGGACTGAAAAGGCTAAAGAATGGTGCTTGGTTCACATGCCTCACAGCAAGGACACGGGGTCAAGCTTTAGGGTGTTCTTGAGTTTGTGTGGAATTTTTCTGATTTTCTCACACAATTCAAAAGGTATGTCTAGGCTCTTTTCACGCCCAGGTCTCTCATGAAAAAGACATCTGTGATTTTAAATAATATTAATAATAATAAATTTTAAATAAAGATTTAATAAAAAAATTTATGCATAACTCATTGCATATATTTTTGAATAGAATAGAATAGAATAGAATAGAATAG